GTGGGGTGTGTGCAGAGAAGGGTCACAAGTGAGGGCAGATGCCCAAGGGTCCATCTGCATTCTGGTGGGTGCAGAGGGTGTATGCACTCACCTCCGCTCCAATCCTCAGAGTGGTATCCTCTCAGCCATGCCATTTGTGGTTGGTTGCATCTGCATCATCCTTGGAGGGCTACTGGCAGATTTTCTTCTCTCCAGAAAGATCCTCAGACTCATCACCATCAGGAAAGTCTTCACTGCCGTAGGTAATGGCCTGGCTGGAAGCAGGGCGGGTGTGGGTGGCTCTTAGTGCCTCCTAGTTAATCTGCTTGTCCTTCTGCCACAGGAGTTTTCTTCTCATGCATGTTTCTAGTGCCTCTGCCTTGGGTCAGATCCAGCCAAGGCGCCACCATGGCCTTCTTGGTTCTGTCTGCTGCTTCCAGCAGTTTCTGTGAATCAGGAGCCCTTGTTAACTTCTTGGATATTGCTCCTCGGTAAGGACTACACCGCCTCACCTGCACAGAGCCTCAGTTCAGGTGCAGCAGCCCTAAGCCTGCTCTGATATGTGCATCAAATGTGGCATGGGCCACAGGTCATAGGAGATGTTCCCATCAGTTTTCCATAAAACAAACTATTAGAAGTTACCCTGAGCTGGCACCTGTGGTGATGCAATCAGGAGCACTCTGTGGCCATGCTGGCAGCTCCCCTGGAGGGCATGCACAAGACCCTCTGTGTAATGGGATGCAGCAGTCACTCAGGCTTCATCCTGAGACTCTGAAGAGCAGGCCCATGTGAGGCTCTCATGAAGTGAAAGGACACTGCGCCAGAGGAGAAAGAGTTATTGCTAATGCAGGAGATAGTACAGGTGACAGAGACTTCCCGATCCATTTTCTAGGGTCCTGGGAGTCGACAGGACCCACTTATCTCCAGCTGATGGGCCACCAAGAGTCATGGGAGATGTGTTGGCTTCAGGGAGTCAACATCCATCTTGGTGAAGACTCTTGTATATATAAGATGGAGACTTTCGTATTCCAAAACAAGATTAGAGGATCAGGTGCAGTAGTAAGAACCAAGAAAATACACAAGCTAAACACAAATCACCAGTTTTCACATTTCCTATAAACAATGTTGACAAGTCAGCATAAGTTATCTCATGGAAGTCTCAGACCCCAGCAGAGGATATTACAACTAATTACTTTTCATTCGGGCTTAACTAAGGTGAACACAATTCCAGCATCCCTGGAGCTAAGCATAGCCTTATAGCAAACCAACTAAGATGAACCCTTTGTTTACATGGTGATGTCCCCTCTCCCCTACCTTTCCCCTCTCTCAGGTATGCTGGCTTCCTCAAGGGACTACTGCAGGTCTTTGCACACATAGCTGGAGCCATCTCTCCCAGTGTCACTGGAGTTCTCCTCAGCCAGGTAAAGTCAAATGTTCTAATGAATATTCATAAAAGAAACCTATGGAGGTTTTCAGGAGAAGTCAGTTAAGGCTGGCTTTGTTCCCTTCTCAATGTGACTGAACTCATAACTCATGAATCTCAAGCACTCGACACACCCTTGTCCTCAGCGTAGGCTTAGCTGGTGCAGGGAAATAAACACCCACCAGGGGTGTGGATGGAAGGCGAGTGCTCTAGGTTATCATTTTATGCATTGCACTGTCTTGTAAAATGAGAGTCTCATGCCAACAACCAAAATTTCCAGTAATATTTTTAGTATTTCTCCTGAAGTATGTAGCAGTCAACCATCCAGGTTTCACTGATACTGAGGGGTTTCTCAGGATGTGCGCCTTTCAGTGTTAAAAGCTAGAAAGATCTGGGCAAACCAGGATGAGAGTCTGCCCCGTGTAAGAACCCAGCAGATGTTTGCAGAATGTGTGAGCAAAATGCTGAGTGAATGATCGAGTGAGAAGCAGCCTGCACCTCCCAGGGATGCTCAGGACCAGCAGGGCAGACCCCCCTCCCTCTCATGCTCACAAGGTGTTTCCACATTCGAGCAGCCTTCCTTCCTGGAGATGCCTCACAATAAACACAAAAGCAATAAACCCACTGTGTGAGAATCTGACTGATGTAGACTTTCCATGAAGAAAGATATCTTCCACGTTCACATGAATATCCCTTTTAATCCTTCTATGGATTCTAATCCTTCCACCAGTAAGTTAGAAGAGTCAGTGAGAACATACGAAGCTTAAGAGTGTTCTTTTTGAAATCAAATCCCTACTTATTTCTGAAACTTCAGTTTCCTTCTAGCCACTGGACTAACACATTGGCAGGAAATGGTACTTCAGATGGAAATTCTGAAGTTGCCCTTGGCTCTCCTGCGTATTGGACATTAGCATGCACCACACATAAGTGAATGAAACAAAAGTCTCTCTGCTTGAGCAACTTGTATTGTAGAAAGAAACAGACACAAAGTGAAGGAACCAGGAAAAATATGATATATTGGGTGGTGATAAGATTTAAGAGACTGGATCTAGGTCTATCAGAGAAGGGGTATTTCAGCTTAACATAGTGGTCAAGGAAGGACTCATGGGAAAGGAAACATTTTTTTAAATTAATTAATTAATTAATTAATTTTTAGTGTGTGTGTGGCCAGTTCAGTCCACCAAGGGGCGGGGCTGGCTGGCATGTGGTGCTGGGGGATTGAACCGCGGTCTGTGCTTTTGCTTAGCTTAGCTTGTTCTAAGTAGGTGCGTTAGACTACTGAACCGTCTCACCAGCCCCGGGAAGGGAAACATTTAAGCAAGGACTGGTAACTGGGAGAAGAAACACAGCTTTGTCATTTGGAGGACACCCAGGGTCCCAGGAAGCCAGAGCAGAGCTGAGAGGGAGTGGCAGGACATAGAACTCAAGTCTTTGTGAATTGGGAAGGGATGAAAATTAGGTGACCACTACTGACTTGAAATTTCCTGCTTCTAGGCTTCAAGTTCAGAGCTTGGATGGAGGAATGTGTTCTTGATTGCCGCTGCTGTTGATCTAGTGGGGCTGGTCTTCTACCTCATTTTTGCCAAAGCGGAAGTGCAAGACTGGGCGAAGGAACAGGTGCTCACCCACCTCTGAGCCCACAGAGTGCAATGTGGGTCCAGCACCTGTGAGCTCACTACCTTTCCTCACAGTCTTGCCTTTTGGGTCTGCTTGACTGTTTTGTCCTTTAATTGGAATTGGCTTTGTTTCCAGTATCTTCTCAGAAACCTTGTCTATCTAATCTGGGAGATTTTACCAAGATTAGATTTTTTATAGGAGAGAAAAGGTTCATTATGTAATATGAGAAGCATATGAAAGCATACACGCATGAATTTCTCAATGTCTTCCATGCACTTCACTGCTATGCTAAAAAAGGAGCAAGTGTTGGAGGTCATTTTCTCTTCAAAGGAGAAGAGAACGCAGAACTGCAGCAGTGAGGTTGAGAATTATCGGAGAAGAACCCAAGAGCTTCCATAAAAAGAAAGACAGAGGCTGTGGAGAGCATTGTCTCCAACCCCAAGTCCTGGGCCAGGAGGTCCTGCTCCAAGGCTGAGGCTCTCACATGCCTGAGGGGATAGGGTGCTGCAGGCAGAGGGTGACAAGAAGGACAATAAGCAATGAACTCAGTGGGTGGGACAAGGGGAGCCAGCTCCTCTCCAGCTGAGGGGCGTGGGGCAGCTCACTTCACCTCTCCTAGACAACTCACCTCGCTGGGCTCTAGCTTTGGGTCTGTGCCATCCCCACACCTGCACTGTTGAGCACTCCCCGGAGTTGGTCCTTCCAGAGCTGCCTTCTTTGACCTTGGCCCCACATCTGCTTGGTTGATCTGTGCAGATACCAGTGGGTCAGTGAGTGAACTGTCCAGTTTCTCTTTTGTCTCCAGGAACATTTCTTGGGATCACTCCTGTCTATGCTTCTCTGATTCCTGGGGTCTTTCCCACCATTCATGGGCCTCATTCAGTGTTCACTTCATTAACCTTAAATACCTCCGGAAATGTACATAAGACTCACACTGCTTGACCCCATTGTAAATGTCCAGACAGTGTGCAAGGTGGGGCTGTTTTCATTAAGTCCCACATGGGCAGCTCAAGGACCATGAAGGAGAACAAAAATGTCCAAACACTAATGATATCAGTGAAGACAGTTAGGCTCCTGCATGTATGGCAGAAGTCAAAATCATACATGGTTTGAAGAAGCTCAACATTTCAGGGACGAGAACCTTATCCAGAGTGTCCCACCGCTGGCTGTGTGATAACAGCTGTGGAGAGCAGGATAACCGGGTATGCCATGCTAGAAGAGCGGGTGCATTAATTGAAGGGCGAGACAGCGCCAGCACTCTGAAATGCCAGCTAGACTGGAATCCAAAGGACAACAGCAACAAGTGCAGGAGGGGAAGAGTGAGAGCACCCCAGGAAGTAGGTGTGGCGGCCAGGAAGAGCAGTCTTGAGTGGCCAGAGGCAGAGAGTGAGAGAAGTGGAGCTTGCGAGAAGCTACAGAAGCTAAGGTCAAGAGCACACAGGGACAGTAGGCCCAGGAAAAGAAAGGACGTAAAGAGGGTTTTGCTTTTTAGAAGTTGCTCTGCATAAGGAACGAGGATGGAGTAAGGGGCTGCAGTGTAGTACAGAGAAGGGTGATGGCCATTGGCCCGAGGGGCAGGATACAGTGTGAGGGGAGGGAATTACTTGTTTTAGGAGCCAAACCTGACAGGGCTCTAACACAGAGAGTAGAAGCTATCTGGAGCGAGACTTGGGTTTTATTTGCTGCTAAGTCCAAGGGGCTGCCTCTCAGGAAGTTAGCAATCATATGCTAGGGAAGTTTAGCTTTTTTAAAAGAATGCAAAATAGTAATAAAAAAACCCCTGCATTAGAAATGACACAAAACTTCACTAAACAAAGTAATAGGAATTCCACAATGCTTGCTATATTGCATGATGTTATCTTCAAATTACTTGTTTAGATTACAAATATGCAGACATAAATGTGCAAAATTGGTTCAAAACAAAACAACAACAAAAATGTTATAAGAAGTTAAAAAGAACAAATAAGAACAAAAAGAAAAAATTTGGGGGCTGGCCAGACAACTCAGTGGATTAAAGCACCTGTTTAGGTAGACACAGGGACCAGGATTTGGTCCCCAGAGTGCCATGCAGGCCCTGCCCCCAGGGCACACTGAGCCATTGATTGAGACTGGGCGTGGTGGCGTGCCCTTGTAATTCTAGCACTTGGGAGGCTGAAAACAGGAGAAGCACTATGAATCTGATCTGTGTAGTGAGACCCTGTACTAAATACATTAAAAATAAAAAAAAGTAATTTTAAGCATTAACTGCTCCTTTCAAAAGACCAGCAGAATCAGAAGTACAATTATCCAAATTATCCTGCATATATACATAAATACAGCTTTTCCCTTCTTTCACCATTTTCCTCATCCCAGTTTTTTCCTTCCTGTTGAACAATTCTTTCTCCCTAGTGAAGATTAAAAGAAGGAAGATGGCCACGTGGGTCTGGACTTCACCTGTGAGACCTGAGTTCCAGTTATGAATTTGGGAATCACCTAGACAGAAGTTACACTTAACATTTTCAGTATAAATGAGATCATCTAAGAGGGGAATGACAAGAAGAAACAAGCCTAAAAGTTGGAGAGCAATCTTTCAAGGACTCTAGGCATTTAATGATCAGTGCAAGGGTGATCAGAAAAGGAAGAGAGGAAGGAAGGAAAAAATAAAAAGGGAGGGAGGACGGGAGGGAGAGAAGGGGGGAGCAGTCATTCTCTCCTTTCCTTCCCTGACTTTTTCCTTCCTCATCTGTCACCTTCAGTTGCTTTTGAGAACAAGTTTATTTTTCCCTGAGCTCACTAAGGAGGTTGGGGTGGGCATTTATAGCTTGAACGAGATGGACTTTTCCTCCATATGGGCCATCCTGAAAGTAAAGAGAGCTAGGATTTCCCACCGGTCTGCCCATCTGCAATGAGGGGGGAATCTGAGCATCATGCAAAAGGTCGTTCACAATGTCTTAAAATAAAATTTGATCATATGCTTGTTTCCTGGGTTATCTGACAATTATTCATAAACAACTGATACAAAGAGGAAGACAGAGATAAGTAAGCCCATTTTTTGAAACTGAGAAATGTAGCCCATTACAAGAAGCACATGCTAAAAAAGAAAACCAAGCACATATCCTATGTAGCGGGGAGATGGCCCCAGGAGTCTCACCATCCTCCTGGCATTGCTGGCTGCCCAATAGTCTGGCCTCCTGTGCATGTCCCTTGTCCTTTCATTAAGGAGGTCACTCCCAGGCTTTCCATGTATTTGACTTTCCAATAAGTTTTTTTTTTCCCATAATTTTATTGAGAAACAAATAGCAAGGAGACAGTTTCAAACCAAACTGATAGGACAGTTTCAATAATTAACACATTGCATACATTCTTCCTAGTGGTTAATTGCTGTACAAGATGCGGACATGATATCCTATTTACAAACACCACTAGAACAAATCACTTTTTTATTAAGAGAATGTAACTATATATCTATCCTAAGCACTTTGAATACACAGATACAAAATGGACATTCATCTGTATACAGTTTTTTGTTAAGTTCTGTTATT